CTGGCCACTGCCTCCCCCCCCCGAGACTCAGCGCCTGGCATTGGGAGGGGCACCCAACCCCGCTGGCTGGGGCTCCGGGCTCTCGCCTGTGCCCCCACGGGTCCCCGGCCTGCGGGGCACTCACCTGTCCCTGTGAGCACCTTCACTTTGTGCGTCTTGCCCAGTTTCAGCGCCACCTGCTTGAGCACGCTCTCAATGTCGTCGCTGGGCGCGCCCAGCCCGTAGCGCTCCACGTAGCTGTGCCGGGCAGCGAGAGCAGGTTAGCCCCACCAGGCGCCTCCCCTGCACAGAGCAGCTCAGCCAGGGCCCAGCAGGCAGGGGGCTGCAGCCCCAGGGCGGGGGTCACTGCCCACGGCGCCCTCGAGCGAGGGACGTCGAATCCCGCTCCACTGCTTAACAGCCAGTTCTGGGCCAAGAGCTCCACCCTACCCAATGGGGCCAATGCTTGCCAAGGCGCTAGGCCTCAGCTGAGCCCGGACAAACTCGCCGCAGGGCACCGCCCCTGCACGGGGGGCGCGGAGCCCCATGGGCAGAGCCTCTGCATCACACACTGGTCAGGTCTCTAACGCCCGCTCCAGGGTCCGCAAGGTTTGCTCAGCAGACGGCGTCCCGCAACTCAACGAGGCCTTGTGGGGCAGCACAGCAGAGCCTGGGTTACCTGCCCCTCACACCCACCGAGAGGCAAGGGCTCGCCCTGCCGGCCGGCATTCTGGGAGGAAGGCGTAACCCTCGCTAAGGAGAAACGCCCGTCTCCTGGGACTCCGCCAGGGCTGGGCGGAAGGACGCTCCGAGCTGACAGGCCGCTACACTGGTCAGCCTCGAACACACCCGCGTAGAGACGCTGGGCCGCATGGACACCTGCCTGGGAAGAGCTCTCCTTTCTCTGCCTCGCTAATACACCCGCCTGCTCTGAGGAGACGGACGGGGGCCCAGGGGACGGGCTGTGGTAAGACAGGCCTATTGTTTCAGGGGCACCCCTCCAGGCAGCTCACGGCGGGGGCACAGTCGGCCAGCTCACAGCACGAGTGGGCAGACGCCCCCGCCGCATCCCTGCCAATGGCACGCACAAGAGCAGAGGCCGAGGCAGAGCTAAGGGATGGCACCCGCCCCCCGAGGCCCTCCCCAGCCCGGCGCTCAGGAAGTGCTCACCAGAACAGCTGCTGCTTGTTCAGGGTGTACAGCAGGTAGTCAGCCATGACGTCCTCGCCCACCAGGTGGTCCCGGATGGCCCCTGCGAGACAGCGCAAACCTGAGTGCCAGCCACCCATGCAGGGCGGGGGGGGGGCAGGCCCCCTGTGCTGGCCTGGGAGCTGGGCCTCCACCCCAGCCCCACAGACCTGCCGCCC